GAAAGTCACCGCCGCCGGGAAATTCTTGTGTCCTCTGATGGTGGTGGTAAGGCGGGATGCCTTTAGCCAGCTCGGCAAGTTTCGCAAATTTGGCCAGCGACAGGTTGCCCATTCTGTTCGCTTTTTCACCGTCGACGGACTTCTTGTCGCCGCCAGCAGCATAATTGGTGCGGTTAATGTCGTCGACAGCTGGACACTGATGTTTTTCAGCGTCATAACCTGCTCGTAGTCTGTTTGCGAACTTGTCAATGCAATGCGATTGGTGAGGATTTAGCCCCAGGGCTGCTGTCTGAGCCTCAAGCTTCATGCCCTGGCTGGAAGTTGAGTCAGAAAAGTGTGATGATGATGACGATTGGATTTGACGTGCAGACTGAGGGCTGTCCTTATCACACTGCATGTACTGATCAACCTCCATAGGCATTGTTTTGGTTTGTTCAACCTTGAGATCGGCGGAAGGGAAAGCGAAACCAGCAGCCCATGCAACGTTCTGCGAGTGGAGGGAGAAAGCCGACATGCGATTGGGTATAAGATTTTGCAGCCTTGCCATTTGTCTGCTACCACTCTCCTCGGCCGTCAAGTGCAGTTCGTGGCTTTGCTGTTCAAGCTTCATTTGGCCAAGTCGGCCAGCGGGTGGATATGGACTGTTGTTGGGGGGGAAATCAATTCTTGGCGTCTGTAGATGCTGATGGTGGGGCAACTGATCGCCATATAGTTGACCGCTGGGCGAAGTAGATGTGTTTGTCTTGGCGCGGATTCGCTCGATTTCCATTGCGCACATGTGTTTTACGGCATTCGGTTGGCGGCCGATTCGACTGCCTATAATGAAGGTTTTTGAGTTAGCCGGTCATTGTTACTTTATTGTGTTCAGTAGTGCGTTTTTTATCATCAATTTATACTTACCGTCTTTGGACATCCCGACAGACAGACACTTCCTATAGCGGCAACTCTTGCAGTTGTTGCGCGTGGCCAACGTTATTAGACAAGCGCCACCGTTCCGGCAAGTGTAGCGTTGATTATCTCGCTCACTTATTGTACGGCGAAAGAAACCCTGTGGAGGATCAAACAAAATCCGGCGTTGGTTTTCTTGCAAACAGTCGTCCGCTGGGAAAGTATGGAGGAATTAGTAGGTTTTGTATGAAACTAACCTTACAGCCCTCGCAAGTAATCGCTCCAAAATGAAAACCAGAGGACTGAGCGCCGCAAACACGACAGGGAATGATCGAAATGTCATTCGCCGGGCAAACCGCTGCACCTGATCCAGTAAGAATCAATTTAAAAAAGTTAAGATGACAGACTCCAATGGAAAGGATAGTAAAACAAAAAGAAAAAGCAGCCAAGGAATGCTTCCCGGATAAAAGATTCCTATAAGTTCAGCCTCCGGCTAGTCCCTCCGCAAACAATAACACTAGTTCAAAGGAGATTTTAGTTGGGAGAACAGCCCTCGCGAGATAATTTATATATGTACCTCGGGCGTTTGCAAACAATCATGAAGTCTATTAATTTCGACTGGAAGACGCTGGCTGAGGGGAGAGGCCAGCATTCAAGACAGTTCAGGATACTGATTTATAGGTTGCATAAGTTCGGAGTGAGTTCTTTGGGAAAATGTACGTTGATAATTACCTTTCCCCATATTACAAGTTGCTTTGCACTAAAGCCCAAGGAGTCAGTCTTATCAAGGTTTGGGCTGGAATAAGTAGCGTTTTTGTCAGGGATATAGCTAAAACACTGAAGTAGGCATCCCCTAGGATTTAGCGCAAGGCCAATTTAGTACGGATATTTTTTTATCCGTATACAACCCTCTTTGATCTATTCTGGCAGACTATAGTCGTCCTACTCAAGAAAATGTCTGTGTATTCAAAAAATAAAGTCTAGGAGGGCGGATGATTTTGAAGTCTAATGACACCAAATGCGAAAAACGCACTTGCACTACCCGATGACCGTAAGTTTGCTAACTAACGTTAGGTAAATATACTTAAACAACCATTATATGCTTTTTAGTAGGCGAAGTTATGCTTATTTGTTTCAGTGCAATCGCATTTCACTATACTTCGAGTTATCTCGTGATGCTGACGGTTGGCTCACTTTGCATTAGGGTTTTACCGGTTTACTTAGCCTAAGACCACCGTACCACTCACACGGGAACCCTTAGTCATCTGCTATTACTCCAGATTACAGGAAATGTAAAACCTGTATAGAATTTGTTAGCCACTTTGGTTGCTTATTTCTACTTGCTCCAAAGCACCCCCCCCCAAGCAAACACACGCAAATCTTTAGTGACCAACGAGCAGTCTTCTACTACAGCAGTCCCATATCGGTTAGGGCAGCCTACGCACATTGCACGCCCCGCACGGAAACCCTTAGTAATCGGCAAAGAATTTTGCCTACGTTGACTACTGCGCCACCGCAGATTGGTTTCGCGTTCGATTCACGCTCGATTTCTCGAATACTCTGATTCAATTCAAGTCCGATTCACGTCCGAATTTTTTGAATTCCCGGAGTCCAGGTGGACGACTGTAGGTTTGGTAGCGCCCGTTAGATACCTTTAGCCCCAGAATTCTGTCTTACAGAGGACCGGCGATAATAGGGGTTTTATGGATGGGGAAAGCACAACGGCGCAGAAGAAAAAGTCAAAGAAATATATCAGATAAAGGCAGGAAATAGTAGATTACATTGTTATACTAAGCGAAGAGTAGGAGGAAATAGTAGATTACATTGTTATACCAAGCTAATATACACAAATAACAGGCGCGCAATAATTGAAAAATAAAAAAACAATTTACGAAAATGTGTACTCAAATCGAATCCTAATAGTGGTAACGGTGTTTTATATACGTACATTTTTAACTTGCCATTACATTCTAACAAGTAAGCCTCTGATACCAATGCTGCAGATTGCAGCATGGTAGTTCGCCCACTCTAAGAATGACAGGTAAGTCGTGCCTCTGTGTCAAGGTATTTGGTCTACGAAGCTTGTAAATTCACCTTAAACATTAAAAAATGTACTTTAGATTAAAGTTTGACGACTGTGAACTCATACACAAGGCTGGCATAGTGGCTGATTCCTGCATTAAATAAAAACCAATGGCTGTCTAGTTGCATTATCCGCCTGGCTGGTTGTCTTTCTCGTCTCCCTGTTGTTGTCCCTTGCATCACCCCGGTACCAGAGTTCACGAGGGGCAGCTATTGCATTATCGATTTTTCATGAGATCGCGCTGCTTACGCTGTCCAATCAATGCGATATCGATTAATGGGCTCATCCAGGTCCGGCGGCGCGCAACAATCGAAAATGCGGCCGACTGCAAGCGCAATCCAGCCGCCTGGGAAAGAGCGTACTCAGTTTGCGTCCCACTTCGCAGGATTTCTGTCACAGACGGAACTGGAGTGCGTACGC